ACAATACACCCAATAGGACAGAGTCTACAGGGAGCCGTTGAGCTGTGTTGCATTTTACAACTTGGCCCAGCCTGACTTTTTTATTCATCCTGACCTGCTCTATATGCCTACAAAATTGCGTAGCTCTAGGCCAAATGTGCTTTTGACAATTTAGAAGGTGGCGCTGTGGAGCAATTTTTCTATTGAGGCGTGTGTTGTTCTTCCAAATTCTAAAATTTTTCACCAGGTCTGATGTACATGGCAATTTTGGTGAGTTTTCGAGTATGTTTAGGGCCTCAAAAACGCGTGAGCACGAATAATAACAATAATCCAAGCAGTTCCAGTAGGGTCTTCGCACCCTTTTGGGTGCTCGGACCCTAATAAATAATAATAATAATAATAATCACAACGGTTACAATAGGGTCCTTGCACTGGTGTGCTCGGACCCTAATAAGGAACAGTACAAGAAGAAATCATGGCAACAGTTGTTGTACGTACTCCTGTAAGTCTCACAATGTTCTCCATGACTCCAACCAGCTAAATGGACTTTTTGTTTTCAGTGTTCAGGTGCAGTAAAACCATGCCCTGCTTATTTAACCCTGTTGAATGTTTCCCCTCATGTGTTTTATCTGCAGGTCAGAGTTCTATCGACTTCTTGTTTGACTTTGTGGCGGCGTCACAGGGCCCCTTCGGAGGGTTCGATGTTCTCGACACACGACCCAGAGCAGGTAAAGGAAACTGTTCACGTGAGTTTGAGGGTTTGCTGATTTCACACAGCAGACACAGTGAATGAGTTTTGTCTTTTCAGGCGTTAACGGCAGCTTGTTGGTGACTTTGACGGGGAGCAACTCCGCCACAATAACAGCAGTGAGTCTGGTTGAGTCTTCAGGGTCTGCAGAGGTTAGAGGAGTTGTGGTGCCGCAGGGCAGCGGAAACTTCTTGGTCCAGGTCGACAGGATACCATCGGCGGAGTTTTCAGTGCGGGTGAAGGGACAAGATGATGGTTCGTCCTCCAGCTCTTCATCAAATATCTTCCAAAGGCAGTCGTCCACCAACTTCAGAGGCTCCAACCTCACAATTACTGTGAGTTTTCATCCCGGACGTCACACAAGCAGCAACTGAAACTTTAAATGTTCACTTTATTATAAAACAAGTGCAGAGGAGCACTTCATCCCTACAAATGCTGACTCTTGTCTGATTCTCTCTGTGTTTAGGCAAGTTCAGACAGCATCCTGGAACCAGGGACACCTTTCTCTGTGCCCTTCTCTGTGATGACCGACGGAACAGGAGGAAACTTCACCATCCGAGCCACCAACAGCAGAGTTTTTGACTCAACATCTCCGACCAGTTTACTCCTGGAAACTGGACAAACAGCTAATGGTACAGTCACCCTGTCAGCTCCTCTGAACACACCGTCTGGAAGTGACGTCACTCTGACCATTGAGGCCGAGGCTCCAGGCGGCATGGACACCAACTACATCGTGTTGCGCATCTCCATTGTTAACACGGTAATACTGCCACTGATGAACTCATCACTAATAGATAGATATTTTATTCATCACTTTGAGGCTATTCAAGGTATCCAGTAGGTCACATGTTACATTCAAGAAAGATAAGGACCCCAGTGGTACTAAAGAGCGGGCAATAAACATGCAGATTGTGCTGGTCAAACAAATAAGGTGCGGAAATTGCTGATATTTACAGTAAAGGTGCAAAATTGCTGGTATTTATACTGAAAAAAAGGTATTGAAAGGTATTAAAAGTCTAAGTACAGTGGAGAAACAGAACTAATAATAAGCATAAAGGGGATTACTTGGTGCTGTGGAGCAGAATTAATGGTTTTATTGGATTAAGTTGAGTAACTGGATAGTGGCAGCCAGCAGTCCAGGTCATGAGCCATTGCCTTCTACCGAGGGTCAAGGTCTTTGCTTTAAGGATTTCTAAGGAAATTTCCAGGAAAAAAAATAACAATTTGCTTCTCGTTTAGAAAAACCTCAGTTCACGCTGAACAGTTTTACCTGTTTGCATTTTCAGCTCACCTGTTGGCTCAGTGTAGACAGTTAACTCTTCTTCTGTACTTTTGACAAATTGCAACTTTGGAAATGTTTGTTAAACAATTTGGAAATGCCAAAACCATAAATATTACTACTCTGTGGAGGTTAAGCTGCTGACTTTCTTCCCTGCTTCCTGCCCTCACAGGTGACTGACTTCACTGCACCAGTGTGCGAGCGGCTCAGCTTGCAGTCCAACTGCTCTGAAAACTGCAGCCTGTCCTCGTGGTCGGTGTCTCTGCGGGTGAGCGACGGGGCTGATGGGACGGGAGTCGACCGCGTCATCCTCAGACAAGGAAACGGGACCATGAGCACCAGCCTGTCGCCTGGCAACGAGAACGTAACCCTGGTGTCCTACAACTCGTCCTGCTGTTCTCCTGAAATGCAGCTGCAGGTTGTGGATCAGGTCGGTAACGTTGGATCCTGTTCCTACTCTTTCCGGGAAGGTTCATCAGGTGCTCTGTCTGCAGCCACCAAAGTCACTCTGTCACCATTTCTCTGCTTCATCATGGTGGTGCTTGGACTCCGTATACTGACAGAACTGAGCATCAAATGTCCATAAAGATCCATGTCAACGTGGCAAATAGTTAAAACTACTACAATATATATCAATGTTTTTTTTTGTTTGTTTGTTTGTTTGTTTTTTTACAATATATTTCAACAATATACAATACATACTGATCTACAGTGACTTTCCCTTTTTTTGTGTAACATAATTTATCATCCATTTAACTTTAGATTGTAATGTTGGGACTCAGCTTCTTTTGGATCCACCCAGTGGCCAAAACCAGTTAATGCAGCTCTACACCTCAAACTGATTGTTTGCACGCATCACTGCTTGCTTAGCTTTTATTAAGCTTCTTATTGCTGTCACAAAGGTGTTTGCCCTCTGAAAGAGAAAACTTGAAACCTCTGAGGCTCTGCCTTCTGCTCAATGAATGTATTTTAGTATTTATCAGCCAATCAGAGCTTGCATTTCAAATCACATACCGTTTCTTTTTCCTTAGCTGCAGCTGCCATATGAAACATGTACCATTACATACAGAATACATAAAATTCAGATGTACTACTTTGTCATAATATTGCACTTTAAATGTTGAGCGCTTTGTTCAGATATCGCCACAGTCTGTATTGTAAAATGAGCTGACACGTGTTTGCTCTCTGCAGTTTAAACTCATGTACAGTGCCTCTAAAAGTATTCACCCTCCTTGGAAGTTTTCCCTTTATGTTGCATTGGATATGGTCATTATAATTTGGCTTTTACAAAAAAAAAAAAAATTCCTCAAGAGGGTAAATACTTTTTATAAGCACCTTGAAGTCACACAAAACACTGATGTATGTGACGGATCTTCAGTCGTGCAGAGGATTGTAGGTCATAACGACCAGAAGAACCTGCTGGCATGCCTTCTGAAAAATGGGACCATATAGCAGCATGGATGTCTGAACACAACGTAAATCAAATGTTTAATCCTTAAATCCTACACAGAGAACAGGAAACAGCGCCAACCCTCCAGCCAGCCACAAAGTTTTGGATAACCATAAAACCTGCTGATCACAGTGAAGCTCCTCTTGTCTGTAGATGGTTGGAGATAATTTGTCATCAGCACATGGAAAATGGGAAATGATGTAACCACAAATAAAAGAGGCAGACAGCTTTAAAAAACACTGTTTTTATTGTTGTCATAATGTGTCGAATCTTTTAAAGAACACAAAAGTTTTTGCTTTTTCACATTTTCCTACAAGTGTAACATTTTTTCCCTCCTGTCTCTTTTATCACTATTTACATTTTGAAAAGTTTCCAGAGAGACCTAAATCAACTGGTCGTGTGGTACAGAGGACGAGGCAACTACAAGTGTTGAAATGTGTGCTTGTTTGGTGAGTGTCTTCTATGGTGATATGTGAGTGTTTAGTGATTGTGGAGGTTTGCCGTTTGGGGAGTTTGGAGATGCAATTTAACAAAACCAAAAAAGTTGCATTCTGGGCAGAGAGTCTTTTATCTGACTCTTGTTTTTTGTTCCTTTAACTATAATTGTCATTTTCTCTGTTTAAAACAGTGATGACAGTGTTGACTTTCCTCAAACCTTTGACCAAACTTGCACGTGTCCCTTGAACTTAGAGCTCCCTCACTTCACCCTCGCACTTGCCTCACTCTTTTCAAACCCCTGTAAAGATGTCCTATACTAGAATACATTGCCATAGCATTAAAGGTACTAGGATTTTGTTGAATCAACCACAAAAAAATGGTTGTGGAGGTAATTTTCTCGAATATGTTGAACTTTAGATTCATGTTCTTACAAAATAGTACCTATTTATAAAGGGGCAACACTGTTAGAGCATTTAAAAGAGTGGTTCCTTGTCAATGCAAGGGAAATTAGTTTCTACAATTAATGGTAATTCTGAAATTCAGACCAGTTCTTCAGAAGATGTGGTGACACATCAGGCAGTGCCATTGGTGTATTGGGAAAGCTTATTCTCCAAATCGCAGATTCTCTTCTCCTGTGACAAAACTGTGGCCTTCAGATTCTGAATCTCCTCCAACAACCTCTCAAGGAGCTGAGGCTGGATGAGAAGAAAGAAGTGGAGAGAAAGGAATAAAGGGAAACAGAGGAGGAAAGGAAAAAAGATAGTGACAGGGAGGGGAAATTCAGGATAAAGAGAAAAGGGAGGAAAATAGGTCAAGGAAAGTGTGCAACTAGGAGAAAATAAACCAAACAAAGATGGGAGCTTTGGGGGGAAAAGTCATGGGCAGATACAAATAGAAGAGAGATAAATAGAAAAGGGTTAAAAAGAGAAACATCTTTAGGAGTAATGGAACAGTGAGATTACAAGCTTCAAAACTTTTTCAGTTTAAAATGTGTGACATCAAGCTCCAAACATAAACACACAAGATGCAGCAGCAGTAAAGCACAACTCAACTTTAGCAGCTCCTAATGTGAAACATATGAGTATTAATAAATGGTTAAAAAACAAGTCATGAAGATAACTGGTTCTGTTAATTCCTGAATGACTGCCAGTAGCAGTAAACACAGTGGATGTGTCTCCTCTTAGGTCGAGATATTCATATGAACAAAATCGTGTCATTTATATGTTACCTGCATGTTTGCTGTTTTAAATTAGAATTATGAATGATAAGTCGACTCACGAGTAAACTCACTAGTCAGCGGTAGAAATACTTTTCAGTTAAACTAACTGCTGTGTTCATGTCCAGATGTTGAAAACCAGCACGGTGGAAAGTAGGTCAGATGGCAACTCGTTAAAC